ATGGCAATGTCCCTCCAGAATAAGGCCGGGCAACAAGACTGACATGTCCCCGGCGTCGATAAGTAATTGTCCACTAAGCAGGCAGCGACTGCCGTTCCGTTTTTGTGTCGGTTCGCCCGCGCCCGTAAATGTCCTGCGGTCTGTATAGAGTAGTGTTGCGGCAGAAACTGTTGGAACAGGATTATAGTAAGTAAGTTTTTTTGTGTTACCCGTGACTTTCAACTAGTTTTGTTTACTCTCTTTGCACGATTGATTGCTTATAAAGAAATATAAGTAGGTCTGTAGTTCTTCCTCATTTTAAAGCTCTTAATATATGTATCAAACATCAACAGCCTAACGCTCTTGATAGCGAGCGCATTTTTACTCTGTGCATTGTTGTATGTTACGAAGTGAAGTATCTCCCTCATATTACTCTGTGCCGCAGTAGTCCGTACACGGATAATGGCAGCGATTAGTCGCCATTGGGCCGCGGCTTTTTGTGCGACTATCCATCAGATCGCATCGCATACAAGTTCGTATTGCCAGTTATGTTATTACACTTGCTAAGCGCAGTTTTTAAGACAGCCTTCAGAGGATACTTACATGATGTTGGGCGAAGTAAGTAGTACGTCTGCTATGTTATTCCTTACTGACTAATTGCACCACAGCACGCACAATGTCTTTATAGTTTTCTACGAAAGTACACTGAAAAGGCTATAGAAATAATTATAGATCTGTAATACCAACCTCTTTGCGTTTGGAATAAAACCAATTCAATGCTCCGTTAATGAAGCTATTGTTCCAAAATTTATTTAAAATGGATCATTTTTAGAAAGAACTGGAACGAAACGATACTTTCACGTTAAAAATTAACATTTAGTTTGATAGCCCTATAATATTGATGTATTATGATCCCGCTACTCAGCACAACGCAGGCGAGGAGTGGTGTTCACTGCTCACATCTCCGATACAATCTTGAGGCATTCATACAATTGCACTTTGTTGCATTGTTCGAGCCACATCACGCGTAACATTTGCGTAATCATACACCACGGGATACACTTAACTTATAATCTTAATGCACCTTTTGAAATAGGTGTCTAGTCAGAAATAGTTCGCTATTACAAAGTCTAGCTGTTTGAAATACATCTAATGACCCGGTTTTGTTAGTTAGTTTAATTTACTTTAGAGGTTTTGATATTTTTGTGCACGATTGGGGTTAGCGGTTTTAGCTATTTTAGTCAATAACAATATGCAATGAAACTTTTCAGGTAATCATGTAGTTTTCATAACAATCGGAGAATTGTATCTATTGTGTTTGTAGAGAATCAAATCTTCACAAAAAACAACAAAAATCTCGAACGATCAGAAACTCAGCATCGAACGTTGAACTACAAATGAATACGACCACTAGAACATCCCCCCTCCCTCATAAATACGGGAGGTAGTCAGACTAACTTTTTCAACCACATAAAACAAAAACTTGTTCCACGAAAAACACTATAAATTGCGCAAATCTCTCTGCCGTTAAATATGAAGCCCATAAAGGGATGGAGGGGTGACCGGAAGTACCGGAAGTGAGTAATTAGCGTGCACTGGCCGGGAAGATAACGTAACTACGTCATCTGAACATTCCCGGGTCCGGAGTCCGGAGTCCGGCAGTCAAGTGCATCGTAATGAAATTATGCCCAGCCGCCATTTTAAACGAAACTTAAAGGACTTTTTGTAATTAGACGAGTGCTCGGAAACACTGGAGCGGAGGCTGCGCGTTTCATGAGAGACGAATATGAATATATGAGAATTTTACTACACTCCGCTTTTATTTTCGTGTGTTTTTTGGATTGCGGCACGTATTATATGAGCGTTTTTTAGACTGCCTAGTTGATAAAGTGGTGGTGAAATCGCAATTTAAATTTTCGGATTAGACAAAGTAGATATTCCATATTTTCGAATTGGAAGTTCTTTCGATAGAGTAAAGTAATGTTTTGCACTTTAAACTAAACATAGCGTATGTTTTTCGTTTATATCTTTATGTTTAGTCGGTGATATATGGGTTTAGCAGAGCAGTCGGTGGCAATTGTAGCGATCGGGTCGTTGGGTGCATATCGAGCGAAACAGCGCGCACTTGACGACTGCACCGCGTTTCAGCGTATTGTCAATTGAAGCCATCAACTGTCGGATTGTAGTTTGTTGTTTTGTAGATATTTGTTTACAGAAGATAAATAACAAAACAAACAGACTTAAAGAAAGAGGAAATAAAATCTATTTTAGCACGTTTTTGAGTTTTTATATGCTTACAAAACTTTTTGATAATGTTATACCTGTCAATAGCAATAAAATAGAGAGGTTGTGATCAACGTGCCCTGCCAATAACCTCGGGAAGGGCTTAAGTAAAATAATGTAAAAGGATCAACATCCCCCTCGAAGCCAAGCGTGTAGTAATGTGCTCAGTTTGAGATACAGTGACAGATGACAGACAGACGCACAAACGTATATAATAGTATGTCGATTATTTGAATGTAACCAAATAATTCTTATGTCATTTTTTTTTAATATTTGGTGGGCCGACGTTTGGCCATTGTCTCGCCTGGTGGTAAGCAGGTTATACCCAGGAAACACAGACTCTGGAATGAATTCCACTCCTTAGCAGTACGCACAAGGAAGCTTGATGCGAAGTGCTTCGTGCGTAAATATGTCAGATGCCAGTCTATTGGTTTTTGTGTTTAATTATTTTAAATGTTTACTTTCGAAGTTTTTAATACGTTATTTTATGACTGACTTTTCAAAGAGGAGGAGGTTATTATAAATTCTTATTTAAAGTCTATATCATATCACTTGATAAAGGTTATAGTTTGAAAACAATTGGCCGAGTGGTCGCAAGTGCGACTGCCGGGCAAGGGGTCTCGGGTTCGATGTCCGGGTCGGGCAAAGTACTATTGGGTTTTTTAAAAAATTCTCAGTGGTAGCACGGAGTCTGGAATTGTGCCCGGTATATGGCAATAGGCTCACCCCCTGTTACATGGGACTCATAACATAAATTGTGAAACGTGGGTGTTACATTGTACAGTGGCCCCTTCAGAGATAAAAGGCGTGATGTTACCTATGTCTTCGTAAAAATAAATGCTCAAATACGGAAAAATAGCGTCTACGAGTCAAACTCACATTAAGTAAAAAGTGCGGGCAGTTTGCCAGCGGCTTTTCAACCTTGTAGACATGAAACAGATTAATATAAAGTATTTAAAATACAAACAAATCGTACAATGAAATGTGAAAGGTATTTAATTAGTTAATTAACAACATGCCAGCAGATAATTACAGCCGTGATTGATGAACATCATTTGCACATGAGTGATGCGAGGAAACTGTAATATCTACTTACGTAAGGTACTTGCAGACTTTATTGGTTTTGCACGATGTGCTCAAATGGTCTAACAAACAACTTAGATATTGTATCTACTTCAATAAAATAAATAATTTTATTATAAATTGTAATAATGTTAATGAAATTAATATTATATATTAAAATAAAAATAGGTATATAATACAACTACCAATAAAAATAGATATACAGAAAATACTCTACAAGATACATTTTCTATAAGATACACTGTAAAGTTTTATAGAATCCCACCTAAATTAGTATACCAATAACAGATTTTCACATGTCGGAAAATATTTTGTGGTTCGAAGAATCGTTTTAACCCAATTTTGTTCAATTCAAGGTTAACAGGAAGTTACGCTATTGTTATTTTTGTTAAAATGTGCGGAATGTTCCTTGACGCATTCCCGAGAAAAGGGGTCTTGAAACCCAAGCAAGTATTATCCCAAAACTTTAATTTTCTTCTTAAGGTAAGGAAAGACTTTAAAATAATATTTATTCAGTGAAGTTTACATTCAAAAGTGCCTCTGTGGTCTAATTAAAATTAAATTTGACTTTTGACCTTTAAAGATATTTTTTGTCGATCCATCGATAAGTTATTTACTTTCAGAGTTTCAATGTGGGCGTATACAGATTACTTATGAAAGGCTTTCAGTTGAAAGTGAATCCCGAGTGTACTGCCCGGGGCATGTGGTGTAGCCTACATTGTGATGAATCGGAAACTTTCCACAGTCGCCACTGTACCACTGTACCACTGGTCGGTACATGCAGGCTTTTATTAATATAATGTAGTGCTCCGGAAGTCTCATGTTATATCGGGCAGTTTCATTAAACCTGTATGATGGAGTCTTGAGCGATCGACTGTAATGCTACCTGTTATTTCGTAATCATCTTTAAAAAAGGTTAAAGGAGAACCAAACAGTATTTTATTTGCTTCGACTATAAATCTCAGGTGAAATCTAAATAATAATAAAACTGTAAGCCAGCACAAATTAGCGGCGTGCTAACAAAACAAGCTAACTCAATAAACAAACATAATAAAGTCAGACCGCATAACACGACGACTCAAAACACAAGCGATTTCTATAGGGACCTCCATCAGCTCAGTCAGGGGGTACGCGAGTGAGCGAGTTTGTGAATTAGTCTCAGGTACAGCGCGATGGGTGCGGAGACTGGAGGGGCGCATTCTTACACACAGCGGATAAAGGCGTCTGGCCAGAGACCACGTCCCTATTGTGCGACCCTACACACGTGGATCTATTGCCAAGTGTTGATTCATGTAACATGCTTCAGAAAAACAGCAAACATCAATCTTCAATATTATAATTCAAAGAGTTGTTAATCGAACAACAATCTTCTAAATGGCATGAATGATTACAGTTAACAAGACTCCCAATCACGGAAGAGAGCACTTAGCTGTCGCCGTCAAACAGCGGCTCGTTGATGTCGTTTGTACAACAGAGGTAATTTATACGTATCTACTATCTAATCAAATCACACACGATATTAAAAATAGTAAACTTTCACTGCGCGGTAGTGGCGGGTTGTGGCGGGCAGTGGCGGGCGCGGGTCGCGTATTGCGCGCGGACACCAGCAAAGCTCTCAAAGCTCCGCGCGGCGCGCCCCTTCAGTCCGCCGGCGGCAGTCGACCGGCTTGTACGTGCCGCTCGCGACGCCCTCCCTTGGAAACTTTACGCGAGTGCAGTGACAGTGAGTGAGCATGCCCGCCCGCGCCGTGGCCCTCCTAGCCACCGCGGCCCTCGCGCTAGCCGCTACCCCGTCCGACCCTTGCATGGAGGATGGCCGTCCGCGTCGCTGTATCCCTGATTTCGTTAATGCTGCTTTTGGAACTCCTGTTGTTGCTTCTTCCATCTGCGGAAGACGAGGTCCTGAGCGACTCTGTGACCCTCCCGGGGACCAGCCTCCCGAGAACTCATGCAGAGTGTGTGACGCTGCCAGATCTGACCGCCGACATCCACCGACCCATCTCACCGACTTGAACAACCCTCACGACGTGACTTGTTGGAGATCTGCTCCTATCCCTCCGACTTCCTACGATTCACCCCCTGACAACGTATCTCTTACCTTATCTCTCGGCAAGAAATATGAGTTGACTTATGTGAGTCTGCAGTTCTGTCCCAAGGCCGCCCGACCTGACTCTGTAGCTATCTACAAGAGTGCGGATAACGGCGTAACCTGGCAGCCCTTCCAGTTTTACTCCAGCCAATGCAGGCGCGTTTATGGTAGACCTAACAAGGCTACTGTTACTGCTGCCAATGAGCAGGAAGCGAGATGCTCCGATAGTCATCGATTGACTGGTGAGAGTTCTGGAGGAGCAAGGCTGGCATTCAGCACCCTTGAGGGACGCCCGAGTGCTGCCAACTTCGACATATCACCAGTACTTCAGGACTGGGTCACTGCTACTGATGTTAGAGTAGTTTTTAACCGTTTGCATATGGTTAACGAAGGAGATGAAATCGATAACAAGAAGCAGGCAGCTCCGGGCAGTCAACATTACGCGGTCTCGGACTTTGCGGTCGGTGGTCGATGCAAGTGCAATGGTCACGCTTCGAGATGTATTCCGATGAAAGGCGCGGACGGTGCAGCTGCCGGAGGAGTGCAGCAGCTGACCTGTGACTGCAAGCACAACACGGCGGGCCGCGACTGCGAGCGCTGCAAGCCCTTCCACTTCGACAGACCCTGGGGACGCGCCACCGCACGGGATGCCAACGAATGCAAAGGTCAGAATGCCATCTGTAGTCGTGCTTGCTTGCTGTTATTTTTAGGAACCACGCCATTTTTTATTTAGTCATCGTAATTGGTCAGAGTTTATAATTCAAATTCTTGTTTTGAACAATTAGATGATTTGCTTGTTTTTTGTTGCTCTCTGTTTGTTTTACGACTGTCCAATCAGAGTTATTTCCGTAATTACCCCACAATAATTACAGATCGATCATTAAACTCTACGAACCGCAAGAAAAAAGTCTTAAACGTGTTTTTGATCTCTGTGTTGACCTTTTGAAATAAAAGTACTTACTTAAATAAGGCTGACTATACGTAACTGATTGCAAAACGAAATTAGGGAAATGTAAACCTACCAGTCATAAAATTATTCGTTTTAAATGAATTCCTTGAGTTTAAAGCTAAAGTTTTACTTGTAATAATTTGCAACTGCGGTGGATAGATCATTTCTCGCCTACACAACACAAGTAAATGTAAACTTAAGTGTAAACTGAAAACACGGCACATTTTGTATAATTATTACTCAAATTAAGGAGCCGATATTTTTACCTTAAAATATTAAATAAGTATGCAAGTTAATTAACTAAGTGTGAATGCAATTATATTTTGGATCTAAGCAAAATTTTCTCAATTTCCGGCACGACAATGGTTTGACGGGAACCAAACCACAAATTATAAATTTCTACAAACAGCAGTTAATCTTAAATATCTCGGATATTTAACCCGTTCCCTGCCGACGTAACTGCTGGTTAAATTAATTGATTTATTGCATGGCATAGTTGTCCGTTAATTAACATTTATGAGTTATAAATTTTTACGCTGAGCATGGTGCAAGCGTGGGTCTCATCCATCAGCGATTGATGGCCTGTCTTTACGAGAATGCCATATTAGAAAATTTGACCAAGAATGAAATTATCTTTTTTAATACTTGCAACTTTAATGTTGAATGCAGTCACTGTTTTTGCGTGGGAATTAGGGTGAAGGTGTTTTAGAAGCTTGAAGTCGGTAGGAAAATTTTGGCTAAGGTAAATCATTGAATGTGATCTATTAACTAGTAGAAATATTATTGAACTGAGGTGAGTATTGAGGTGATACGACATGTCATATTTATTGTGTTACTATTTTTTATGTAGTTGTTTTTGTTAAGTGTTTCGAAATAACATAATAGCTAATAAAAAGATCACCACAAAGTATAAAACTCTCAATTGTATCCGGTATTCATCTTGGATATTTCGTCCCCTCGTAATTACCCATCCGTTTGGTATCACAATGTAGAGCTAACAAACTGTACCGCGATAATAGAGGTGCGCCCACGCATCCCACCTCTATGATTTGTGGTCCACAAACGCATATTATCATAAATTTACCAAGTCTACTTTTAAAGATGTCTCAAGGATTGTTTCTTTTTATTTTTCAGTGTTATTATCTTTTCAAAATAATGGCCAAGACTTATTTGGCTTTTATGAAGAACGTTTATTGGATTTTTATGGAATATTTGGTAACTGAATTAGTTGAGTTGGTTTTAATTGGAGATATCAGATTTCACAATATTAAACTAATAAATTGAATATGCCTACTTAGTGCTACAAACATTTGTTTATGGTCAGCAGGCCATACATAAAATCGATTTAGAATAGAATTAACAGTTTTTTTTAATTGATTTGTCCAAACATATTTTTTACATAAAGTACCATAAGAAATATCCGCTAGAACATAAGTCACAACTGGTTTTTACCAAAAATCGTAGTTATGATGTGAATGCAAGAAATGTGGGCCAAAAACAAGTTCCGAAAATATCAGAATGAAGCAATAAAAACTATGATCCGTGTAATAAAGGCCATTTGTAGCCAACACAGTATCGACGCGGGCGCAGCGTTCGGAAGCACCCACAGATATGTGATCCTATAAAGATAACCAACTACAGGCTAGAATCGATATCAACTGTAGAGGTAGATTTAAAACTTAAACTGACTGACAAACGTATTTTATAGAAACTGCTGTGCATTATTCTTTAAAAACTCTGTGTTTTTCTAAAATTCCTACGGCGATTCCGAAATTAACAAGGAAGATTTTATGCGCGTATGACTTCGCAGGCAAAAGTTCTGCCATTCTTTGCCAGAGTCTGTATTTTCTGAAATGTGTAATCTGGGTGTCTTCAAGGCCCGAGTGAATAGGTTACTTATAGGTCGTCGTGCTCCATCGTAGGCCACATCATCGCTTACCACCAGGCGAGATAGTGGTCAAACGTCAGTCCCTACTAATATATAAAAAAAGCTATTTTGTGTTTCAATAAAACTATACTTCGCGAAACGTGCGCGTAAATGTAAGTACTTGCGTAGGTATTTTTTGCAATACTTTTATGGGTTCATTCACTAGATACAATTCATGAATTCTTGTTACCTACTACTTATTCAGAATTTTATTTTAGTGGCATAACGGTGAAACTACGAGATTAACTGCTTACGGAGTAGGGTTTGGCTTCTAGGACTTTAGAAAATATTTTTATACTTAAAGACTAAACCAATTCATTGTCATATAACTAGTCAGATCTAGTACTTACAGGAATTACCTTTCACGTAAATATACAGTCGCGCAGCCTACTGATTACTGCTGCGTCGCCGCGGCCGCACACGCTGCTCATGAGGAAGAATCCCCTCGTGACTCGAAACTAGTAGAGCTTTTCTCAGTACCTATGTACGTGAATAAACCGTTACTTTTAGTTAAATTTGTATGTCTCACGACAGTTATTATAAAAATTAGGTTCATTTTATTTTGCATTAAAAAATATTTTTGCGATTGTCTTCTTATAATTCAAGTCTTTTATCCTTATTTTACATACTCTTGTACCTCCACTAAGGTAGAGCTTTTTCCTTCAAGGAGTATGAAGGCAAATAGTACAAAAATGAGTATGAATCACAGAGGTCCACAGCGAGCGATCGACATCAAGATAATGTTATTTTATTGTGCTAGTTTAGTGTTAAACGTGTTGTTTGTCCCGGTATTCTAGTTTATTGCTTTACACCCCGCACAGGGCTGCCGCGCGGGAAACTGATTAACCGTTGATAAATTATTAACCAACTGGTAGGTAAGTTAGAAGATAGTGTTAGGGATGTATTGTTGTATACATATTTACATCTGGATTTCAAAAGACTTCAGTATAGGGAATGAGGATTAGATATAAACATTTCATTAAATTTTTATCGTTAGGTGATTTCGTTTTCACCCCCTATCATATATAAGAAGTGATTTTTCACACTGGTATTAAATACACGCTGCTCATGAGGAAGAACTCCTCTGTGGTTCGAAACTAGTAGAGCTTTTCTCAGTATATTCACGTGAGTAAGCCGCGATTTTAGTTAATTTGGTATTATATATTTTTGTATTAGTAAACGACATAAGCATGACATTGCAGTATCTCCAAAATGTTCCGTACATACGTTAAGAAATATATTTTTAAGATCCTTAACTTAAAAAGAGTACGATACTAATCAGCACGAGTTGTCTGTTCACGGAATCTCACAGTGAAACGTGTTGACCACATAATGCTCTCTACCACTGATAACTAAGTAAGGAAAGCTAGAGATAAACAGGAATTTGCACTGAACTATTTCGATTTACTAGAAATATACAAAAAAAATATTCGTCCGAGGCTCGAGGGTTCGAGAGATATGGTGAAGAAGTTACCCTTTCCGCCTCGCTGACGATTAGTCACTCAATTTTGACGGGAGGATCGATACAGACCTCCCAGGCCTATATCTTGGCCCTCTTGAGACTTGCAAGAGCCAATAATTCTTTGGGAAAATTTAAATCTTTAATCTTTACTTCTTTAACAACTGACTGAAAGACAATGTGTGTTGATTAGCCAGCTTCAATCAATTTGATTTAATTAGCAAATCACAAATTACAGATTAAAGTCATGGTATCAGTGTTCATTTGTTATATCTATATAAATATAGTTTTTCTTGTGCAGTCTATTCTAGCATAATTACATTTAAATTATATTTAAGTTATTTCATATAGTTTAGGCAAGCGAAGACATTTCATATTGTTATTCTAACTATTGACATTAATTAGTGAGTGGGTATTTTTGATCTCATTAGATTAGATGTGATTATTTGATTATTTGATGTCTAATATTGGAACTTTTAATTACCTTTAGGATTATATACAAGGATTATTTCATTTAATTTCTAATTTTAAATAGACCTTATTTTATGAATTGTTCATCCAAAATTGTTTATGTTTAATAATTTTTTTTTTATTTGACTTGTTTTGCATTATGTTATGATATGGATTTTTGATATTGTATTTCTTTTGTATTTTCTTGACATTTCTGTAATTTAATTTAATCTAATTTCATTCAATTGCTATAAATGTTTGTATGGGCATGATGTGATTCCCTTTAATTGAAGGATCACAAGGTTATTGTAACGTGTGGTGGATTTTTTTTTGCATGTAAGTGTATCTTTTGTTGGGAGTCCAAATAAATAAAACATAAGGGCAGAATATGAGACGAATGGGTTTATAGGCTCGAACGAACAACATAAAAGTAAGGAATGCTAACTATTTTTCGCCATTCACAAGCGAATGAATTTTCAACGAGGAATGCGTGTTAGTTGATCAGTATTTGGCGACATATCGAAATGTTTTAGCTTAATACGAACTTTATATGGCACTCAAAGTAATTATTGGAATTCTAAGTGGAGTATTAAAGTAAAGAACTGGTCGCAGCAACCCTATCATTTCCAGTGATTGATATTATCAAGTTATTTGTCGAGATATGTCGCTACGGCTTGCTTTATAGCCTTAGGAAGTGATAAAAACCATGTATTTGATTACCAATGGCTTGTTTCCTTTACGACACGCCTAATGGATATTTTTGAGGAACAATGCCATCTCCCGTTGTTATTGTGTACGGTCAAGGTAGGGTTTATGCGGGTTTCAATTAACCCAGTCTATGGTTACAGCATGATTCCTTTCTTGGTTTCGGAATATTTTA